GGTACAGGACTGTTATGTGTTTACAGACTGGTACAGGACTGTTATGTGTTTACAGACTGGTACAGGACTGTTATGTGTTTACAGACTGGTACAGGACTGTTAGTGTGTTTACAGACTGGTACAGGACATGCTTGATGGTGAACATGTCTGTTAAGATGCTCTGACTGTAGACAGCATGTACTCAGAGTGTCTAACAGACTGGTTTGTGTTCATCAGGTGGTGCTGGTCTGGATTATTGTCCCACTCTGCCCCTGGTGGGGGGACGGTCTTTATTTGTCTCTAGAATAAGGAGCAGCTAAATGCTAGGTGAACAGGTGGTCCTCAGGTGGGTGGAGAGCTGCTGGGACAATGGCAGAGTGCTGGGCACACAGCAGCAGCTCTTATCCAAACCAGTGGTTCCTCATACAGTCTGTGTTCCAGGTCACACCACAGAGCCAGCACCACTCAGCTCTGCACAGAGAGCAGTGCATGTGCATGCAGCCACCTTCAGAGAGACACAAGACTGTCAGTGTGTGTCTGTGTGTGTGTGTGGTGTCAGGTTGTAACGTCACACATGTTCCTGTCATGTTACCGTTTCTCTCCACAGGGACTGCACACTGAGGACAGGGTCTGGTGGACTCCTGGATGAGCAGCAGAGATGCCTGATCCCACCTCCCTCTCTGAGACGCCTCCTCTCTCACCACGAAACCCTGAGGGTGATTGACAGGTTAACCTCTTCATCATCACCATCATCACCCTGCAGTCCTGTCACTCATCTGTGAAGTGTCAGCTCTGACTAGGGATGGGTACCAAATTTGATACTTTTTTATGTACAGACCAAATTCTGTCGGTACTACAGAGTATCTATTCACGTGAACCTGATCTGCCTGGCACCTCTTTCCATTGAGGACGTTGAAGATGTTTTCATATTTGGATTTATGATAATCAGATTCCTGCTGATCGGCTGTGGAGGAGTTCTGGTTTATCAGAAAATGAGAACGACCCTGACAGCAGTCCGGGCCTGGGAGAAGCTGTCTGTGACCCTGGAAGGAATCTCTCGTACGGTGAACGCACAGACTCAAATGGTGGCAGAGTTGAATCGTAAACTGGATGTGGTTCTAACTAGGATCACAGCCCAGTGGCACAGGGAGTGAGGGCAACATCTGGGTGAAGTTCATACAGGAGAGGCAAGATGGTAACTAATCTGGAATATCTGGCATTTTCACAACACAGAGGCTCAGTTAAGACTTAAAGCAGTGGAGGAAAGAGGTCTGCTGTTGCTCTAAAGAACTTATTCCATCATTGGATCTCCACAGATGTGACCTTGGTCACAGACTGATAAAACTCCCTGGATGATATGTGTGGGTGGAAGCCTTGATTCTCCCCCCTCCCTCTCCCCATCCCCCACCTGTGTCTGGTCCCAGTCCAAGGCCACGTTGGTTGGAACAGAGAACTGAACTCTGGTGAACTGTGTTCAATTGATAACAACTGGTTGGACTCTGGAGGTCTCTGATTGGTCCTGATGCTTTGTCCTTGATGTCACCGGTTCCTCTGCAATCCCTTCCCCTGTCCATATTTGCCCCCCCCACCCCCCCCCCCCCCGGCTCAGCTGCCTCTGCTCCTATTTGTAGAGTAGTTTTTTTGTGCGATGCTCATGTGTTTTCTGTTTTTGTATGAAACACAGGATCAAAGCTCTTTTTTTAACTCATCCTTCCTATGTGTGTATTCTAAACTGCAAGTAGCGCACTACGTTTCACAGGGCCCTGGACATTCGTTCCCCATGTCTGTCATGTGTGTGTGTTTCTCCAGACGGATGGTCTAAACTGCAAATGTAGTTCTGCATTGCATCTGATGTTGTGTATGAATGACAATAAACGATTCTTGATTCTTTATTTCATCCTCCATTAAACAGAGAGCAGCAGAGGAAAACAGAGGAGCTTCCTGACAGTCCGAACTCGTCTGACCTAAACAACACAAGCTGATAACTTGAAGTGTTGGACGTGTTCTGGATGCTCAAAACGTACCTTAAATACCTTTCATTTATTTTAACTCAATCCTCTTTTATTTCATTTAAACTTATTTACCTTCATGGACCTCCATCACACATGTTTCTAGTGGGGAAATGACATCAATAGAAACACGTGGAGCTGGATTTTAATTTGTGTAATAAGACAAAACAGTTGTTGTTTTCAACAGTTTTCACCTTAAAGAAATAAGTTACACAACTCATGTTATAATACAAAGAGTTGGATGTTGTCTTGATATTTGTTAATTTTATATATTGAGAAATATGTAAAAAATAATAAAAGTTTATTATTAAAAAAAACATTACACACACAAAGTACCAAAAATTGGTACCGTTAAGTACCGGTACCAATTCCCAGGTACCGAAACGATTAAAATGTCAAAGGTACCCATCCCTAGCTGTGACTCACCTGCGAGGTGTCAGCTGTGGGCGGAGCTGGCACGGCCTCACACGCCCCCTGGTGGTACGTTCTCCTGCAGTCCCTGCAGAACACGGCGCCGCAGCCCAGCCGTTGGTCACACTCTACCCTCCTGCTGCCCTCAGGTGGCAGAAGTCCCGCCCCGCAGCCTGGTGACGGACACATCAGCCCTCCCATGGTGAGCAGGCACTGCTCTGCCCCGTACTGCTTGTAGCGCTCATACTGACAGACACATGGCAGAGGACAGGTGTTCTGGGTCAGTACACCTGCCACTGTGAGGACTACCTGTGGGATGAAGGGAAATCACCTGTTCTTCTCCCAGAATCCTGAAATGATGCAACTCTTTGATCAGTGAGTCTTCACAGCCCACTGGAAACAAAGACATCAGTAAATGACCCTCACACCAGTTCACCTGCCCCCAGCTGAGGCTGCCCCACCCTCACCTGCACACGGCAGAGAGTATCCAATCACAGGGTGCTGAACAAACTGACGCTCGTTCAGGCGAGTCTGACAGTACCGCTGAAAACAGCTCAGACAAATCACATGACGCTGAGGACACTGGAAGACCAGGACCACGTCCCTGAGAGACAGGCAGGAGACAACAGGTGAGACAGGATGGACAATTGGTTATGTTTGGGGCCCTTACCTCGATACTGAACTAACAAAAACATTTCTACAGAACAGCTGGACTCAGACACCTGCTTTCTGAATGAAGCAAGATGGCACAGGGACCTGAAGTCTGTTTACCACTGATGCACCTTTGTGCTGCCAAGCAAGGCAGTACAGAGTGTCTGCAGGTCCTTAAAACATTTTAATCTGCTGAAATCCAACTCCTGAATACTCAGATCAAAACAAAACTGAAGACAAGCATGGAATCTGATAATCTGCTACAAAAATAATAAAACTACAGTCATTTAGGTTGAATGTTTCCAAAATACTATATGGACCTGAAAACAGTTGTGAGGACAGAGACATGTGAGTTCCATGACCCAACCATGGCCCAACCATGACCCAACTTTGACCCAATCATGATCCAACTATGACCCAACCATGACCAAACTATGACACTACTATGACCCAACCATGACCCATCCATGACCCAACTATGACCCAACCATGACCAAACTATGACACTACTATGACCCAACCATGACCCAACCATGACCCATCCATGACCCAACTATGACCCAACCATGACCAAACTATGACACAACTATGACCCAACCATGATCCAACCATGATCCAACCATGACCCAACCATGACGCAACCATGACCCAACTTTGACCCAATCATGATCCAACTATGACCCAACCATGACCAAACTATGACACTACTATGACCCAACCATGACCCAACCATGACCCATCCATGACCCATCTATGACCCAACCATGACCAAACTATGACACAACTATGACCCAACCATGACCCAACTATGACCCAACCATGACCCAACCATGACGCAACCATGACCCAACTTTGACCCAATCATGATCCAACCAAGACCCGACTATGACCCAACCATGACACAACTATGACCCAACCATGATCCAACTTTGACCCAACCATGACCCAACCATGACCCAACCATGAAACAACCATGACCCAACTATGACTCAACCATGACCCAACTATGACCCAACCATGATCCAACCATGACCCAACCATGACCCAACCATGACCCAACCATGATCCAACCATGACCCAACTATGACCCAACCATGACCCAACTAAGACCCAACTATGACCCAACCAAGACCCGACTATGACCCAACCATGACTCAGCCATGACCCAACCATGATCCAACCATGATCCAACCATGACCCAACTATGACCCAACCATGACGCAACCATGACCCAACCATGACACAACCATGATCCAACCATGAGCCAACCATGACACAACCATGACCCAACTATGACCCAACCATGACCCAACCATAATCCAACCATGACCCAACCATGACACAACCATGACCAACCATGACCCAACCAAGACCCAACTATGACCCAGCCATGATGCAACCATGACCCAACTATGACCCAACCACGATCCAACCATGACCTAACCATGACCCAACCATTATCCAACTATGACCCAACCATGACCCAACTATGACCCAACCAAGACCCAACCATGACCCAACTATGACCCAACCATGACACAACCGTGACGCAACCATGACCCAACCATGATCCAACTATGACCAAATCAGTCCTAATGTTCTGAAAAACTAAAACATCAAGTCTGCCTCTTTTTCTGTTCTGGTTCTTAGAAATCATTTCCAGTTTTTCTGTCTATTAGTGACACCCAGTGTCCCACCACACACACACACACACACACACGTTTGTTTCTTGACCCCATGGGGATCTTCCATTGACTTCCATTCATGTTTTTTAGACTTTATATCCTAACCCTGACCATATACTCTAAAATTAACCTCACAGAAACTTACCTGAGCCTAAAACTAACCTAAACCTTGGTCCTAAACCTAACCCCACACCTGGAACATGCATTTGGACCTGTGGGGACCTGACAGTGGTCCCCACAATTCACTTCGGTCCCCACCTGGCTGCTTTTTTTTGTAAAAAATACCCCATGTTGTAGGAAAAACCCGTACACACACACACATCATTGTGTTTGCGTTACATGATGTCGGTGCAGCCAATGCACGGCACTCTTCTGATGTTGGTCACAATAAGGTCAAGGGTCACAGAGACGTCATCCTCTGTAGTGGGATGAGACGCACACTTCAGGTAGAACTCCTGCGATCAGATCATCACCAATCAATAACTCCTGATCCAGTTTAATCACAGATCATCACCAATCAATAACTCTCCTGATCCGGTTTAATCATCATAGTCCGACCCCTTACCGCTTCGTTACCAGGACAGCCATCAGCCTGACAGATGCCATGAATTTGTCCTGGCAGGAGGACATCGTCCCAACAAGATGGACCCTGAGACAGAAAACAGGTCCAACAGTCAGCCACCGCTGTGAGTACAAATACTAACAGAGTGGTACTGCACAGGAAGTACACAGGAATACAGAGGAGGTTCACAGTAATACAGAGGAGGTACACAGTAATACAGAGGAGGTACACAGGAATACAGAGGAAATACACAGGAATACACAGTAATACAGAGGAGGTACACAGGAATACAGAAGAGGTACACAGGAATACAGAGGAAATACACAGGAATACACAGTAATACAGAGGAGGTACACAGTAATACAGAGGAGGTACACAGGAATACAGAGGAAATACACAGGAATACACAGTAATACAGAGGAGGTACACAGGAATACAGAAGAGGTACACAGGAATACAGAGGAAATACACAGGAATACACAGTAATACAGAGGAGGTACACAGGAATACAGAAGAGGTACACAGGAATACAGAGGAAATACACAGGAATACACAGTAATACAGAGGAAATACACAGGAACAGATTCAGCCTTACTGTAGTGTAACACAGAGCTTTTATTTATAAACAGATATGATTTTCTGATGATGAGTGGCTCATCAGACGTTTTGAGGAAAAATGATTTTTCAGTTTGGCACTGCTGCGCTCTGGGAGTGTGACGCAGTGAGTAGCCTCGTGCACCACACGTGCAGCAGCAGCAGTGGTTGAACTGGGGTTCCACAGGAGCTTTCCAGAGGGAGCTGGCAGACCCATCAGGACTGTGTCAGTCCAGTCCACCCAGAGCTGAGTCATGACCAATGGAATCATCTCATCTATCTGAGTCTAAAGGCTGAGTTATGGTCGAGCTCTGGAGCCCTCACCGGCAGTGGAGATGTTTCATACTTGGTGTTTAGTTGGTGTAGATTTCTCCAAAATGACACGTGGAAGTTCACTTTACAACTTGTGAAAATGCTGTAAGTAGGAGAGCAAAAGCTGGACAGACAAACAGACTGCTGTGATGATTTAGGCAGAACAGACCCAGGGCGCAGGCAGGCTCACAAAGTTTAACAAAAATTTATTGAAGTAACAAAAAACTGCTGTAAAGACAGCTCTACTTACAAAAACCATGGAGATCTCAGAGGCAGGGGACAAGGCACAGAGACAAACCAAACCATGAAACAAACAAAATGATCCGACGAAAGACAGAGACAGGACAGGGCTTAAATACACAGAAAACTAATGATTGAAACACAAAACACCTGGGGAGAAACACGAGGGTGACTAATCAGACATATAGGGAGCAGCTGAGCTGTGACACACTGGGGAACCCTGAAAATACTAGAAAAACTAAGAAAATAAACACAGATCATGACAACTG